AAAAATTATATATATATATATATATATATATATATATATATATATATATATATATACATATATATATATATATATATATATATACTATAGATCAAAACTATAGAAACTATAAATCAATGAAACAGTTAATAATTAATCAATAACATAAAAATACACCTGAATAAAAAAAAATAAATAAATAAATATTTGCTAAAATGTACAATATAACAAATAAGAGAAGTAAAAAAAAAAATATTAAAACAAATACAGAAACACGTGTTGAAATGTATAATATGTATAAGGTAAAATATATTATACACAATAGTGTACAATTTAACAATATTAATAATATTAATAATAATAATAATAATAATAATAATAATAATAATAATAATAATACATTCTACAGAATGTAGAATGTTTCAGAATGCTCACAAATGCTAAAAAAATGAGATATAAATCAATCACTTAATCAGTTAATAATTAATCAATAACATAAAATGAACATAAATGTGAATAAATTATAAGTAAATTATAAATAATTTTTTAATAAATATAAATACAATAAATAAACTGATGAAAAATAAAAATAAATATTAGAGTAATTAAAGTAATATTAAAGTAGTTTAAAAAAATAGTAAATTAAAATATATTGCATATTGAATGCATGCATTTATAAATGCATAATAAAATGTGTATGCATAAATAAAAATTAAATTAAACAAAATATAGAATATAAGATAATATATAAACATATTAAACATAAACATAAAATAAATAAAATGTAATTATTAATTTAATAAACAAATAATAAAAATATATAAAAAATAAAATTATATTAAAATAAAATAAAATAAAATAAAATACAATAAAATAAAATAAAATAAAATAAAATAAAATAAAATAAAATAAAATAAAATAAAATAAAATAAAATAAAATAAAATAAAATAAAATAAAATAAATTAAAATAACAAACAATCAAACCAACCAATCAATTTATCCCAGACAGCCTTGGTAACGAGTCTGCAGTCTTAGACCAGTGTTTATATGTCTCCAAACAATAAATCATTAAAAATAAACGAGCCAACGCTGCTATCAACAACATGCATATGAATGAAAAAAAACCTAAATATTCAAGTGGGCCTCAAAATTAATTAATTGATTCCCTCCACAGGAGCAAACAGTCGACTTGACAGCCAATCAATTGGCTTATTATGAAAAACTCCACAACAAATGATGAGGCCACAAAGCAGACATTACTCAAATTCAACTCCTGTATAAAGAGCTGAAAACACGCACACACACACACACACACACACACACACACACACTCTGAGCCCCCGGCTGATGAGCACATTCTGTAGCAAAATAAATAAATAAAAAATAAAGCAGCGAGAAAGAAGAAGAGCAGATGAGAGCATGTGAATGAATCAGAGACTACGCGCTCTTATTATTTGCACACTTTTAACCCTCTGTGGTTTTCTGATTAATTTAATCAGATTAAGTTCATAATCGAACTAAAGAGAAATCAAATGAAGACATTTGAGTATGCTGATTTTAGTCGCATTATTAAAGTGCATTACAGACATGTAAACACCTTATCGAACTATTACCGTCATGTAGGGCTTTTCTCCGTGTTTTGCGACAGGATAGTCCACACACACACACACACGGCTGTTTGACACTCTTTGCACCTACCGAGTCATGCAGACCACAGACACCTGCCTCGTGAAATGCGGCGCTTTATTTCTTTCATTCAGCATGCGGTATGAACTTCTATTAAAACAACACTCTTCCAGCAGTTCATAGTTGCATCCAATATCTCGTTTGTCACCGGGGGCATGCCCGAATGAAAGTGAAAGTGCCAAACCGCAGTTAAAGTTGACAAATCAATAATAAAACACCCGAAATTACATGAAACTTTGGAGGACATGTGGATAGTGTGGTGACGCGATGACGTTAATCTTAGTATGTGCTATAACATGTAAAACGCGATCATGAAGAAACATTCAAAAAGCAACTCATGTCTTAATTAGATTAAAGCAAATCATTCGATTACTGATGTCCATGTAAACATAGTCACTCTCAGGCCCCGTTTACACTAATGCGTTTTAGTTTTAAAACGGCGTTTTAGATCAAAAACGATCCGTGTCCACACTAGCGTTTTACCTAGCGTCTCTGAACATATCTCCGTTCACACTATGCCACCAAAAACGTATATCACGTGACCATTCTGGGCATGCTCGGGCATTCTGGGCATGCATGTTCTAGTATAAACAGAAAGTATGTGTCTCGCTCGGCATTTGGTTATTGTTAGTCAACAAACGCCGGTTTAATATTAAACGCGATGGCAAAGAAAGCAAGAGAGGTATTTTTGTGGACAGACGACGAGGTCGAGTTGTTACTAAACGTAACAAATGAATAACTGCACAAGTGTGCCTAAAACAAACAATAGTGCAAACAACGCTCCCATTTCTGTGCCCATGTTGTTGTTTACAGTACTGTCTTCCGGTAGCGTTAAAGCCATGTGTTATAGTCATGTGACAGAGGCTTGACGAATAAGGGAAGGATACGCAATGACACAAAAGCCCCAATCAGGTAGCGAATCTCAGCAGCCCCGCCTCCGTTTTCAGATGTCTCCGTTTTCCTATATCCACACTCAAGCCTGATTTATACTTCTGCGTCAAGTGACCGGCGTAACCCACGGCGCAGGCAACGCGCGTGGCTGTGCATTTATACTTCTGCGCTCTGTCTCTGTTGGTCTATATTAACACTTCCGAAACGCTAGTGGGCAGTGAGGCGTAAATGTTCCTCTGTGTCGAGTTTCTTCGCTGCTTTTTTGCTTTTCCTGAACACTTCCGGGATGTACAAGTGGCTCAAACTCGCTCATTTTGAGGCAGGAACCGGCGGACGTGCAACAACTTTAACTATGAGGTAAACACAAAACAAAACTTTCCATCAGGAGCTCCTTCACGGGACTCCACACTTGTAAACAATCGCTCCATTGGGTTCACGCCATTTGCGTGGCACTCGGTCCCGCCCCGACTCGTCAGCGCTACCAAGCCGACCAATCACAGAGCTTGCGCTACGCGTTGTTGCGACGTGTAGTTACATTTTTTGAGAGGTGCACGTCAGTGACAGCGACGGCCACAGCGAAGGGCTATGCGTCAGCGCCGTAGCATACGCCGGCATTTGACGCAGAAGTATAAATCAGCTTTAAGACAGTGCAGCAGTGATTCAGAATGAAAACGGTCTCTCCAGCGTTTTCAAAACGCTCCGTTTTCGGCGCTCGAGAACTCCAGGGTAGTGTTGACGGATGGTGTAACCGTAGCAAAACTTATGCGTTTTAAAACGAAATCGCATTAGTGTAAATGGGGCCTGAGTGAAAAAAAAACAAAACGTCTTTTTAGATACAATGAAGGCCGCCAAGAACTGTGAGAAATGACCTGACTAACACGATACTGGCACTGTCAAATGCACAATAAAGCAAAAATAGACAGACACAGTGTATTAAAAAAAACTTACTTTAAGGTGTTTCTTCAGATTCGACGTTGAATCTTTTGATGCAGCTAGCATGTTGTTAGCTGGCACGCAGAGATTGCTTTGGTTTCGGCGGCAATTTTGTAATATTATGGGCCAGACATGCATCGCCTGAAGTATTTCAATGGTATTAGGAAAGTAACTGTATTCTAAATACCCTGTTTAAAAATAGTAACTGTAACGGAATACAGTTACTCATGAATAGTATTCTAAATACGTACCGCCGGTACATGTATTCCGTCATAGATATATACACTAGATGTCGCCTGGCCTATTGTTGTCTATTGGACGAAATGCGTCAATAGCGCCGCCATCTTGCTACAGGGTAGCGCTCCTTTGAAATGAATGCGGGACCAAGGTACAGTGGAGGACTGTGGCCATCCAAAGCCAGAGATATACACATATACACATATATCTATATATGATCGGGAGTTTTCCTGGATGTTAGTATGTAATTTTTTTTTCTAATTACGAAAATTATAATTTTACATCACTTTTCTACATTGATGGATCAGTGACTGCACGGGCATTCCTGACAAAAAGCTTGTGTTTTGTGTGTACAGAAATGTACTATTCACCCTCCCTGTTAAATTTGATATAATCATGTCCTGAAACACAGCTCCTCTCCTGCTTTCACTTCTCATACTGACGGAGGGAGCGATTCGTTTGTGAATGAATCCCCCGAACGACTCTTTCACTAACGTTAGCCGACAATAATACAAGTTTCTGGCAGCGCAGCATCTTGTTGTCATATTTCTTTTGCATTGTTTGCTGATTTTATTCAACAAAACTAGCATAAGCCGAGTGTTTAGTGTGAGTTGGAGCTGCTTTGCCTTATGGTGAATTCAGTAAGTGACTGTTATCATCAATAACGTTACCTGATTAGCACAAAAGTTCAGAACATACAAAAACAGAAAAAAACTTAATATTACCTATGACATGTTCTGCCTTTGTGCTTTGATTTCTTTGTTTGCTTGTTTCTACACCTGTAGACAGCTATAAAGTCCCACATTTTCACGTAATAACACTGTCTTGACTAGTGCGGTTGAATGACATTTGTCCTGGGAGCACTGTAGCAATGTGGCGGCGCTATTGACGCATGCTCAGGGTCCCTATGCGATACCTAGTATATCTATGGTATTCCGTTACTCCCCAACACTGTCTGTTTCTCTAGGAACTGCGTCACTATATGAAAGAAAAAAGTCGCAGCTTCATGTGGACTATAAGCTTTGAAAGTAAATGTTCAAGTTTAGAGTGAACTATTCCTCCAACAGGGATTTTTCCACTCAGCATTTGGATCTGCAGTAAAATGATAAGACACACACACACACACACACACACACAGGCTCCTGCTGACACATCCAATGAAAGTGTAATTCTCATTTCTGCGTCAGGCTTTGATATCTGAAAGCACACATTTTTTTGTTGCTAAAAGCCGTGCATCGGCTTCCTGTGGAAACACGCGGTGTTCCTGTGTGCCGGCGGGATCCTGCAGCGATTATCCCAAACATATGCTCACCCGGCCGGACGGCAGATTACAGCTCTCCAGCGCTGTCTCCACACGCTTCCGGTCCGTGGAGAACACGCGGGAAACACTTTGGAGAAACACAGAAAAAACATGAGCAACGCTGGAATCTGCTTTATCATGCTGAAAAATGAGGGACTTCTTACTTTTTCACAGGGATTCGACCCTCTTGATTTGTCTGCAGCTTGAGTCTTGTGAAGCTGTGAGGAACAAAACAATATTTAATAAATATTACCTTGACTTGGTTGAAAATCAGACATGTTACTAATCAAAATATTTATTCTAAGCAAAAAAAAAAACATTGACTCAAAGAAAAAAAATATTGTTTTTTATAGACATTGGGCCCTATCATACTCTCATACAAGGCGTATTTGGCGTGATTTGTTGCTATTTTCAGATTAGCCAGCCTGATCTCACAAGGAAACGTAGGTATTTTACGTTTTGTTAGTTTAGTGGCTAATTCGTACAAACTCGTACAAGTTCAGTCATACGAAAATGTAAGATTTTGAAATGGAGGCGTGGCACCTAACCCCACCCCTAACCCCAACTGTCATTGGGGGATGAGCAAATCATACTAAAATGTACGAATTAGATCGTACAAAATCATACGAATTAGCCACTAAATCAAAAAGTTACGAATTACCGAGAGATTGTGTTGGATCAGCGCAACAGTAAGTTTTGCACCACATTGTTTAAATAGCAAATCCATTTGCACCACTTTGTGGACTCATGGGTGTGTTGCTCTATAAAGGAGGTGTGTTAAGACGCATTGATTGGTGTGTTGCTATTTTGAGGAACTGAAATAGACAGTGCTATTGACCAACTAGAGCGCGTTAGTTATGCGCCTATACAGGTCTGAAACACATACACATTGCTTGACATACACAGGATATACAGCAATACACAAATAAATGTAAAAATCTAAAATAAATGATTAAAATGAAAAGGATTAAAATAATATAAAATTATTATTTTCTACATAAATATATAAACCACTGCCTTCATGCCTTCTTTACCTCGGGGGCTTTTTCAGTTTATTCATGACAATGTGCATTTGTATAATGTTATTATTATTAGCAGTATTATTTATTATATGCAGATTTATATTTGTTTGAATTAAAACAAGTGTAGATTTGTCCACCTGTGGGGTTTTGGAGACGTTTGCATCACCATATAGAGGATAAGAACAGGAATTGTCTTTGGATATAACTCTTTTTATTTTTTTGACCACACTTCATTATTAATGTTCATTTATTCATTTGCTGGTAATTAGAACTGAATTTAGAAACAAATCTTTAAATGAAATTAAATATGTAGGCTCATGGATGTCTTCAATGAAGTGAGTTTCCACCTTTACCTCACTCCACCTAAGTAAAGGAGTAAAGAGAAAGTAAAGAGGCTGATTGGAGGAGGCTCGTTCTTTATCCTCGTGTTGCAGATGCTCTGTTTAACTGTTTTCTGCTAGTGAAATGTTCAGTTTTTCCACTTACAAAGTCCACCATGTAAATAGCAAATGCACCATGGTGTGACGCAACTGACTCTTAAAGGGAATGAGAGATTGGTTTAATGATTGGTTTGATTGGTTTAATGCACGTTATGATCAAAACACACCCAGAACTCATTAAGTGAATAAGCACAACCCTATTAGACCATGCACCAGGGCGCAGAGCATATTTTTCCTTCCTAAAAATAGCAGAAGTGGATTCAGACATGCCCTTAAGGCTTTTGCACCATTTGCTTTACACTTTGTGCCTAGATCATTAAAATACAGCTCTAAAAGTAAAGAGAAAGTAAATAGACCAAATGGAGGAGGCTTGTTCTTAATCCTCGTGCAGATTGTTTGTTTAACTGTTGTCTCACTATTGAAGTGTTCAGTTTTTCCACTCACAAAGTCCGCCATGTAAATAGCAAATGTGACATGGCGCGATGCAACTGACTCCTAAGGGGAATGTGAGATGAGACTCTGATTGGTTTAATGCAGGTTATGCTCAAAACACACCCAGAACTCATTAAGTGAATAAGCACAACCCTGTTAGACCATGCGCCGGGGCACAGAATGTATTTTTACATCTTTAAAGTAGCAAAAGTGGATGCAGACACGGCTTTAATGCTTTTGCACCATGTGCTTTACACTTTGTGCCTAGATCTTTAAAATAGTGCCCAATAGATTAATTGAGTTATTATTAATATTAATTCAATTTATTTTTGCTTGACTTAAAAATCAAAATCCAAGTTAAATTGTACTTTGGACTAAACTATAATGAATACATTTAATGTTAGGTTATGATTAGGGCCAGAGAGAATCTGCAGAGTTTTTATTTTTCCTCAGAGAATTTTGTAAAACAAAATCTGTGGATTTATGTGGAATCATTTTAGAGTATCATAGCTAATAATTTAACATATGAAATAAATTAATACCTTTCATTCATTCATTCATTTTCTTGTCGGCTTAGTCTCTTTATCAATCTGGGTCGCCACAGCGTAATGATCCGCCAACTTATCCAGCATGTGTTTACGCAGCGGATGCCCTTCCAGCCGCAACCCATCTCTGGGAAACATCCACACACACTTATTCACACACACTCGTATACTACGGACAATTTTAGCCAACCCAATTCACCTGTACCGCATGTCTTTGGACTGTGGGGGAAACCGGAGCACCCGGAGGAAACCCACGCGAACGCAGGGAGAACATGCTTCTTGCTGTGAAGCGACAGCACTACCTACTGCGCCACTGCATCGCCCTACAATACCTTTTTAACTTTTATTTAATGTTTACAGTGCAAATGTAATTCGGTCCACTTTTTGGTAACAAAGCAAGTCTCTCATGTAATATCTCTACTAAAATACTCTATCATATAATATCTCTACTAAAATATTACTTCACAAACTGTATTGTAAATGAATCATATGAACATTTTAACATTACTATTAATATATCACAATAATATTAGTGAAAATAATTTTAAAAAATTAATAAAATATAAATTTACATACATTTATACAAGTAAATAGACTAGACACAGACTCAAAGACTCAATTTCTGCGTGTGCAGATTCCATGTGAGCCTAGTTATGATATTGCTAGTTATTTTATTTTCAGTTGTGAGGTAAACTATCTGCTGGTGCTTTCAGTATGACCATACATGTCTCGTAAACACATAAACGGTGCCTTTTCCATGTGGTCAAATTCTATTAAACTAAATCTTTACTACTTCGAGAGCAAATTAGGCTTTTAAGTTTACCTTGGTGGTTAATTTTTTGCTTTAATGCAAATGGAACCTTATTTATCAGGGGTCGCCGCAGCGGAATGAACCACCGACTATTAGATGTTTCAAACATTAAGAGCAGGATTATTATGAGTAATTTAGATAATTCATTCATTCATTTTCTTTTCGGCTTAGTTACTTTATTAATCTGGGGTCACCACAGTGGAATGAACTGCCAACTTATCCAGCATATTTTTGACACAGCGGATGCCTATCCAGCTGCAACCCACCACTGGGAAACACCCATTCACACTCATAAACTACAACCAATTTTGTTTACCCAATTCCCCTATAGCGCATCTGTTTGGACTGTGGGGGGAAACCGGAGCATCCAGAGGAAACCCACGGCAACAAAAGGAGAACATGCAAACTCCACACAGAAATGCCCACTGACCCAGCCAGGGCTCGAACCTGTGACATTCCTGCTCTGAAGTGCCACAGAGCCATTGTGCCGCTTTATACATCTATATAAACTATTAATATAACAAATACAAAAAAAAAAAAGGAATATATATATATCATTTGGCTATGAATGCCATACTGTATTACTCTTGCTCCAGCCATGTGCAGATGTTGATGTACTCACGCTTTCTCCAGACAGGACTCTCTGCACATGTTCTGAGCCAGCAGGTTTGAGGCCAGACTAAACAGCTCATCTGCCCACTCCTTTATCAAGCACAAAACATTAAAAGCAATTCGGGTCAAGTATCTTGACTAACATTCATGCAGCACAAATATCTCACTGACAGAAATATACATGCACTACTTATACAAAGTGCCTCATTATGCTGTGGTTTATTCCATATTATTATTATTCATGTTTTGAAGGTGTGCACTCGCTGTAAAAATGCTGGGTTCCATACAATTCCCTCATGTGGTCCCAACACAGCTACCTTAATTGTTTTTACAAATTTGTGAAATTTTATTGAACATAAAAAAATAAGCCATCCTCACAAAATACTCAAGAATTGTGTTGATTCAACTTATTTTAAATAAAAAGTTTGAACAAGCAGGGAAAAAAATCGACAGATGTTTTAAACAAAAAGTGCAGGATTATTATGTGTAATTTAGATAATTATTCATTTATTCATGCTTTTTCTTTTTGGCTTGGTCCCTTTATTAATCTGGGGTTGCCACAGCGGAAGGAACCGCCAACTTATCCAGCACATGTTTTACACAGCAGATGCCCTTCCAGCCACAACCCATCACTGTGAAACACCTACACACACTCATATTCACACACACACACACACACACACACACACACACACACACACACACACACACACACACACACACACACACACACACACACACACACACACACACACACACACACACACACACACACACACACACTATGAACAATTTAGCTTACCCAATTCACCTGTACCATGTTTTTTAACTTGTGGGGAAAACCGGAGCACCCGGAAGAAACCCACACCAACATGGAGAGAACATGCAAACTTTACACAGAAATGCCAACTAAACCAGCTGAGGCTAGACCAGTGACCTTCCTGCTGTGAGGCAACAGTGTTAACCACTGAGCCACCATGTTGCCAATACAGTTGCCTCAAAGACATTTTAATTATTAATATTAAAAAAAAAATACTTTTAGTTATTTATTATTTCCAGTTTTTCAGCTCTTTTTAAAACAATAGTTTTAATAACTGATTTCTAATAACTGATTTTTTTTGTCTTTGGCATGATGACAGCACATAATATTTGACTTGATATTATTGTATTGTATTCAGCTTAAAGTGTAATTTAAAGGCATAATTAGGTTAAATAGGCCAGTCACTGGACAACAGTGTTTTTTTTCTGTAGAAAATCGAAAACATTTGTTTATATTAAAAAACAAATTATTATTTTTTTTCTCTTTTAAATATTTCCCAAATGATGTTTATCAGAGCAATTAAATTTTCACAGTATGTCTGATAATATTATTTCTTCTGGAGATTTTCTTTGTTTTATTTTGGCTAGAATAAAAGCAGTTCTTTTATTTTTTAAGTACCATTTAAAGGTCAAAATTATTTGCCGCTTTAAGCTATATATATTTTTTCTATAGTCTGCAGAAGAAATCATTGTTATACAATAACTTGCCTAAATATTCTAACCTCCCTATTTAATCTAAATAACCTAGTTAAGCCTTTAAATGTGACTTTAAGCTGTATAGAAGTGTCTTAAAAAATTCTAGTCAAATATTATTTACTGTCATCATGGCAAATATAAAATAAATCAGTTTTTAGAAATGAGGTAATGAAACTATTATGTTTAGAAATTTAGAAAGTCTCTCCATTAAACATAAATTGGAAAAAAAAATTATATATATATATATATATATATATATATATATATATATATATATATATATATATATATATATATATATATATATATATATATATATATA